TGGCCCTTTGGGAGCCACCGGCAGCCTCTGTCTGCAGGTTAGTCGCTGTGTCACTTTCCCACCGAGTGGCGGAAGCTGCCAGGGCACTGGGCTTCCTTATTTGGTCAGCCCATCACACAAGGTTTGTGGCTGTTCTGGATGCTCTCAGGTAGTTACAGTAACTGACCCAGTCTTAAAAGAGAAGGGAGAGCTAAGAGAGAGAGGAAAAGAGAAGAGAAGAGAAGAGAAGAGAAGAGAAGAGAAGAGAAGAGGAGAGAAGAGGAGAGAGAAGAGAGAGAGAGGAGAGAGAGAGAGAGAGAGAACACTGATGTGAGAGAGAAACATCAACTGGCTGCCTCCTGGGGATCAAACCTGCAAACTAGGTATGGGCTCTGACTGGGAATTGAACCCACAACCTTTTGCTGTATGGATGAGTCTCCAACCAAAAAAATCACCCAGCCAAGGCAAGAAACATCAATTTTGTTGTTCCACTTATTTATGCATTCATTGGTTGATTCCTGTATGTGCTCTGAGCAGGGATCGAACCTGAAAGCTTGGCATGTCAGGACAATTCTCTAACCATCTGATCTACCTGGCCATGGCCAGTACTGTAAATTTTAATTGAAATTGGCATATTTTCTCAAAGGAACCAGGAAATATTTACTATACGACTGACATTATTTATAACTGGTGAAAATCTATACAGAAAAGAAATTAAAACAAGATAAAAAGATAATTCATTATGCACACTTATGGATAAATACAATGCTTTCTTTAGTAGATTTTTCAATGAAATTCACAGGAAAGGGTTCCTTTTCGATTCTTCTAATATTTTTTTTTAGAAATGCAATGGTAATGATAGATGAGATCTGATCTCTATCAGATGACCACTATCAGATATATATTATTATATATTATTTCAAATAGGATAACTTGGAATAAAATGTTGTCCTACTACATCCAAAGATTTAATAGCATAAAGAATAAGCAATTCTTCCCCCACTTGCCACCAAGATACCCAGTCTGTTTGTAGAGATGAAAAACGCCATACAGTACCTTGATTTCTTCTATTTCGTCTGGTACTATCTTGTATGCTGATATAGTCCCACCCAACCTGAAATCAGGAGAAGAAAATATTCTCAAAACTGGCAATAGTGTATAAAAAAAACAGGACTATTAACATCAGAGTGACACAAATAATGCCCATTGCCCACCCCAATAACCATGAAGGCAAAGCAACCATTTTATGATTAAATTTTCCATATATTAGTTAAAAAGAGGTACATAATGGATGATTACTGGAAGAGGAAACATTAAATCAGACTTTTCACCATAACTAAACATCTCTGATTGATGGTTTTAATGATACTAAAACTGTCACTTTTACTAATGGAGTCTGTCACAACTGAGATATATCAAGAATGAGTAGCAGACATGGTGTTTGTTTGGGTTTTTTTGTTTGTTTGTTTTATAACAGACTTAATTTTTACAGTAGTTTCAGGTTTACAGAGAAAATAAGCAGAAAAATAAAGAAATTTATTTCACAGATGATCACACCACAGTTTTCTTTTAACATCGTGCATTAGTGTGAAAATATTTGTCACAACTGATGAGCCAATATTAATTTTGCTTCTTTTAAAAATAGTTTAAACATGGATTCAGAGAGATATGTATACCCAGAACTGTCCAATGGAAAATGATGAGTGTTTTAGAATTATAAATTTAATGCTTAAGATATAATCTTTGCCTTGAGGCAGTGATGTCATCAAATATCATGTTCATCTGTTTGAAGTATTTTTGGAAAGCAGCTAAGATTTCTGTAACACTTACCATTTGCTAGGCATAGTATATATTATCTAATTTAACCATTATAATGTTTCATTATAAAAATGGAAAAATTGAGACACAAAAATATTCAGTAATTTTCTTATGTAACTGAAGTAGCTAGTAAGTAAAGATGCTAATTGAGATGTACATTAAGTGTAAAATACATAGCAGATTTTAAATACTTAGTATAAAAAGGTTAATTTAAAAACACTGTTTATGGGCTAAAATAACATTGTGGATATACTGAGTTAAATAGCTATATTATTAAAATTAACTTAATCTGTTTCTTTTCAGTTTTTACAATGTGCTACTAAAATTTTTAAATTCCATATATGGTAGTATTGTGCTACTATCATATCTCTAATAGACAGGTGCTCTAGGTTCTTAATTCCTACCACTGCTCTAATTCAGTGCTTACCTATCACTGTTCTAATTCAGTGCTTAAAAAGAAAATTTATCATTGTTTGACTTTATAAGTACTCAATATAAAAAAGGTATCATAAATAAGACACTTAGGTATTTTAGATACTTGAAGATGTTGCCTATCTCATATGTAAATGAATAAATGATATTCTGGTTTTCATTAAAAAGTAATTGAACCAAATTATCTTTTATTGAAAGCTCTGCATTTAAACTCTTTAATGTTACCATTTATCCTCGCTAATGGAACTAGTGTTCGTATAATTTTTTTCGCATACTGAAATAATGTTGTTGTTTTTTAATTTATTGGGTGACACTGGTTAAACAAAATTATACATGTTTCAGGTATACAATTCTATACTACATCATCTGTACACTGTATTGTGTGTTCACCATCCCAAGCCAAGTCTTTATCCATCACCATTTACCCCCCAGGCCCTCCTCTACCTACCTCAACCCTCTTCCCCCTAGCAATCACCACACTCTTGTCTGTGTCTACGAGTTTTACTCTTTTTTTCCCTTTTTACTCAATACCTCCCCTTCCCCCAAGATCCCTCAATGCCAACTGTCAGTCTGCTCTCTATCCATGAGTCTGTTACTATTTTGCTTGTTTGTTCATTAGATTCCACATAGGAGTGAAATCATATGGTACTTGTCTTTCTCTCACTGGCTTATTTCACTTAGAATAATGCTCTCCAGTTCATCCATGCTGTTGCAAAGGGTAGGATTTCCTTCTTTTTTAATGGCCAAGTAGTGTCTATGTATACAAAAGCCTAACAACTGTTACAATTGGAATGTATGGTCGACCAGTCGCTATGATGCACACTGACTACCAGGGGCAGATGGTCAAAGCAGGAGCTGCCCCTTGGTGGTCAGTGTGCTCCCACAGCCAACCTCCCATGGCCCCTCCCCCAGGCCAGTCAACCTCCCGCAATCCTTCCGCCTTACCGGCCGGCCATCCTGAAGGCCCTGATTGGGGGGTCGGTCAGCCAACCTCCCAGGGGTCCCTCCTCCCCACAGGCATTGATCGCCAGCCAAGGCGAGGGACCCCACCCATGCACGAATTCATGCACCAGGCCTCTAGTTCCATTGTATAAATGTACCACTTCTTTTTTATCCACTCATCTCTGATGGACACTTGGGCTGTTTCCAAATATTGGTGATTGAAAATAATGCTGCAATGAACACAGGAGTGCATACATTTTTTTGAATTAGTGTCTTGAGTTTCTTTGGATAAATTCCCAGAGATGGAATTGTTGGGTCATAAGGCAGTCCATTTTTAATTTTAAATGAACTTTTAGTTTCAGAAGCCATAGGCAGCAAAATAGCAGACATTTGCCATAGCAATATTTTTACTGAATACAGCTCCTGGGGCAATGAAAACTAAGGAGAAAATAAATAAATAGAAAAAGGAATACTCTCACACTGCTGGTGGAAATGCATACTGGTGCAGCCACTGTGGAAAACAGTACGGCATTTCCTCAAAAAATTAAAAATTAAACTTCCATTTGATCCAGTCCCACTTCTAGGAATATATCCCAAGAAACAGAAAGGATATATGCACCCCTGTGTTCATAGTAGCACAATTCACCATAGCTAAGAATTGGAAACAGCATAAGTGCCCATCAGCAGATGAGTGGATTAGAGATCTATGGTACATCTATACAATGGAATGCTACGCTGCTGTAAAAAAGGAATTCTTACCATTTGCAACAGCCTGGATGGAACTGGAGGGCATTATGCTAAGCGAAATAAGCCAGTCAGAGAAAGATAAATATTACATGATCTCACTCACTTGTGGAATATAATGAACAACATAAACTGATGAACAAAGATAGAACCAGAAACACAGAAGCATCGAACAAACTGTCTAACCTAAGAGGGAAGGCAGGGGACAAAGGAGTAAAAGATCAACCAAAGGACTTATATGCATGCACATGAGCATAACCAATGGGCACAGACAGGGGAGAGGGGACTGAGAGCATGTACTGGAGGTTGGGGGTGGCTGGGGGAAAAAGGAGACTAATGTAATAGTTTAAACAATAAAGAATTTAAATTAAAAAAATAATTCTGAGAATAAAAGGAATTTTCTAGCTAAATTGGGCAAACCTAAAAAAAAAAAAAAGAACTTTTGGCAGTTCCGTCTTTAATTTTTTAAGGTAACTCCACACTGCCTTCCACAGTGACTGCACCAACTTGCATTCCCTCTTCTCTACATTCTAGCTAACATTTGTTTTTTGAGTTACTGATGTTAGCTATTCTGAGAGGTGTGAGATGAAATCTCATTGTGGTTTTAATTTGCATTTCTTTGATGATTAGTGACGTTGAGCATCTTTTCATATGTCTATTGGCCATCTGTATGTCCCTTTTGGAGAAATGTCTATTCAGGTTCTTTGCCCATCTATTAATTGAATTGTTTGAATTTTGGATATTATCCACTTGTTAGATGTATCGGCAAATAAGTTCCCCCTTCACTGGATTGTATTTTCATTTTGTTGGTGATTTTCTTTTCTAGGCAAGAACTTTTTAGTCTGATGTAGTTAGTGTTTAGATCTTGATTTGAAATTTCCTAGACTTAAAGTGTCAAGATTGAATGATGAAAACAGTAATGAAATTTAACTTAACTCATATTATATAAGGTACATAAGTGACATACTAAATAAGACCATAATAAAATAACTAGAGCAGCACTATATGTTAATAAAATGAAAAATTACATAACTCTGTAGCAGGTTTAAAGTAGCCATTTAAAATAGGTTTTCATTGTTAATTATTAAAGCTATTCAATTAGGAGTTGAAATTGTTAGGGTATCAGGAAGACATTAGAGCAAAAACACTACTGAAAATTCTAAGACTTCAATTTATAGCCTTGCCAAAAATGGGTTCATCATTTTATTCACTGAATTTATATTATGTAATAGAGACAACCCAGAGAATAAGTATGCAAAGAAATCATAGTTTTGTAAAGAAGCAAATTGAGCACAAAAATATCTGTAATATAATCCACTATAAGTTAAAATTTTTAAATTACTTCATAATTTTTAAAGCACCTATCGAAAAATAGACTAGTTATAATATAAGCAGTCTAATGCCTATTTCATAAATGTCAGAGATTACAGAAATAGTTCAATTTGTTAATACAATAATGATTTAAAGATGCCATCGTGATAACATTTTAATTGTAGAAGAAACATAAAAACAAAGTTGCTATAATAAACTTTAATTCTACTTCAACAAAGAACTTATTTTTCCTTTGATTAATGTTGACTAACACTAGCTCAAATACTGCCTTTCCTGAAATCCCAACCTCGGTAAGGTAAGCTTCCAATTTAGTATTCCTACATCAGCTTTAAACCAATGATGATATTTCGACTGTTAAAAAGGCAGGTAAGGGGGTGGAGGAGGTAGAAGAGGGTAAAGGAGAGATAAATGGTGATGGAAAGAGACTTGACTTGGGGTGGTGGACACACAATACAATATACAGATGATGTATTATAAAATTGTATAACTGAAAGCTATACAATTTTATTAACCAAGTAGGGTCCGGTGCACGAAGATTTGTGCACGGAAAGGGTGGTGAGGGGGGTCCCTCAGCCAGACCTGCATCCTCTCCAATCTGGGAGCCCTCAGGGCAGCCCTCTCCAATCTGGGAGTTTCTGTCTGTCTTTGCAATCAAATGAACGAATTGTCTGAGACCCCCAACCCAGTTTGGTTTGTTGCTCACAGAATAATAGAGGCTTTTTTTTTCTTTGCTTCAATGGTGGAGATTTCCTGGAAGTTTTAGGATATCTTCCCTTTAATTTTTCCTTTGGGAGTCGAACGACCCTTTCACAGGGGTCGCCTAAAACCATCAGAAAACACATATAT